CTATTCCTTTGTTTTAAGTCAAATAGTATTGTAATTATTGAAGGAATGTAAAAGTGATTTTCGAATTGAAAGTTTGCATAGAGATAGATCATGAATTTGATTGCTTATAAAAATTTTTTAGTTGCAAATGATTATGTAATCGTTCGTTCATTTCCAATTTCATCATTAATTCGTGAAAAGAAACTTTCTGGTCAATTTCGTGTTGATAATTCTAATATTTGTCTTCATAATGGTATTCAATTACGATCAGCAACATTTCAAGTTTGTTTTATTTAAAAAATTTCTTATTTTCTATTTTTTGTTTTTTGTGTGTAGTTAATCAAAGTCTTTTTTGATGATGAAGTTCTTGTTGATGATGTTGAAAAATTTCGTACAAAACTCGTTGAAAAACGTTATCCTGAATCTGTTTTTCAAACATTTTGTTTTTCAATTTATAGTGATTATAATCCTGTTATCAACAAACAAAAAGATGGAACACTTAAGTAAATCTTTTATCAAAGCACAATCTAAAAGAAATGTTGAAATCTAGAGGAGAGGAGAAGGGGGTGAAAATTTGGACTTCCATGTAGAGAGCTGCGGGTTCAGATCTAGAAGAACCCACAACTCCCTAATCAATAATCTCTCCCTATGATTAGCAACAGTGGTTTTCTTTTTGTTACTAATAAATTATTTTCTTTAGAAAATATGGTCGTTTTGCTCGAAATGTCTTACGTAAAAAAGGTCTTATACCACCAAAAGATTTAACAACACATCAAAATGTACAATTAAAATCTAATGGACAAGGTGGTAGTAGTAATACAGGTGGTCTTAAAACTTTAAATGGTTCAATGCGACATCAACAAAATATTTTAATTCGTACACCTGAACCAGTTCGACGTAGTTTAACATTAACAAATACACGTTCACCAAAATCTATACCATTACATAATAATGAACGTTCATTAACAGGAATTTCAACAATAACAACACCATCAACAATACATGAATGTGATGAAGGAATAATTGGAAATAATAGTGATGATGAAGATGAAGATAGATCATCAAGTAAAAAATTTTTTTTGTTTTTTTTTGTTTTTTTCATGTATTTATTT